TGTACAGCCATACCTCGGGTTACATATGCTTCAGGTTACAGACTCCGCTAACCCAGAAATAGTGCTTCAGGTTAAGAACTTTGCTTCAGGATGAGAACAGAAATCGTGCTCCGGCGGCGCGGCAGCAGCAGGAGGCCCCGTTAGCTAAAGTAGTGCTTCAGGTTAAGAACAGTTTCAGGTTAAGAACGGACCTCCGGAATGAATTAAGTACTTAACCCAAGGTATCACTGTACTGGCGGTAGGGGCACTGCCCCACCAACTTCAGTCTGTCCTCAGCCCCTGCGTGACTTCCTGCTTACACCCAGGCCAGGGGGTGGCCTTGCCTGCCAGCTTTCTCCACCCGAGTCTTGTTGTCCTTGTAGAACTCAGCAGGGAGGACGGGCACAAAAGTAGAATTAGTTGGCTCTGCCTGTCATTGGCTCTGGCGCCCCCTGCTGTTGGTCTCCTGGCCATCTCCCCTACCAGTTGCAACAAACACAAACCAGTACTTATGCATTGTCGTCTCATCTCCGTGGCCACGTTTCCAAATGCACAGGCATCTCACTACTTGTAACATTTCCCCAGCCTCTAGAGAATAGTGACTCATGCTGAGAGGCAACCAACACCCTCCTCGGAGAGCCACTAAACACAGCATCTCTGAATCAGAACTGACATAACCAGGCGGACGTACCTGGTCTGGGAGGGACCAAGGCTAGAATGAGGAAATCACACAGAGACACAGCGAGCAGCCTCCTCTCTTTCTCGGAAGCTGCTTTGAACTGCTCTGGGGTGGGGTTCTGTACTAATCATTCATTTCAGGGTTCTTGAATCACCACAAATCAAGATCCGCGATGTAAAGATGCTTGAACGGTTTCTTTTGGGGCGTTCTTTGGGGGTGTATATTAATGGATTATGCCAGGGGTCAGCAACCTTTTTCAGCCGGGGGCCAGTCCACCGTCCCTCAGACCATGTGGTGGGCCAGACTATATTTTTTTTTGGGGGGGGGGGAATGAACGAATTCCTATGCCCCACAGATAACCCAGAGATGCATTTTAAATAAAAGCACACATTCTACTCATGTAAAAACACGCTGATTCCCGGACTGTCGACGGGCCGAATTGAGAAGGCAATTGGGCCTGGATTATGCTTTATGTACATATTCTTATATTTCACTCTTCCCTGGGTGGTAAATAACTAAATGCAAAACAGGGACTTCCGGGTTGGCGCCATCGCCGAATGGCGGATTTCCTCCGATCTCTGGAGGGAATCTGCTCGACAGGGGTCGGGTCCTGCCGCGCCGGCGACGCGGGGACCCTCAAAAACCACGGGTGCGGATGCCCGTGGACCTGGTGACTCGGCGGGCACCATTAGCGCCCTCCCGACCAGCGAAGGAGCCTTTTTAAAGGCTACGGAGCTGGGGACGGGGAGCGGCGCGGTGCTGTGAGTCTTCTGCTTCCCCTTCCGAGCGAAGCCGCATGCCATTCGACGGAGAGCACTGACTTCTTCCTTTGAAAATCTGGACTTAAAATAAAAACAACAACCCGTGAGTAATTTGGAAATTGGATTTAAAAATTTCTTTATTGGATTCGGCACGAACGGGGGGAGGAGCAAAGAGGAAGTCCGTCTCCCCCCCATTGTAAACATTTTAAAGCAAGGATTTAACAACTAAGATCGAGAGAGAGCCTGTATTTTGGATAAAAGTCATTAATTGCATGGATTGACAACATAAGTGACTGTGCTGGAGGAGAAGAGTTAATATTTTGATTAAAGTGCTACCCCCCCCCCCGAGACCGGGAGTGATCCGTGAGAGGAGCCTGCTGAGGAGACAGAGAGGACTTTGACAGCTGTCAAATTAGCTGTCAAAGTTGGAAAATAGAGAACTTTGTTTCTGACGTTCTTGCCGGTTACATTGGATATAATATAGTTACAAGTTGCTGAAAATAAACAAGGACTGAAACAATTTAACTTGGCCTTTGGGTTTGAAGTGAAAGGAATATTGAATAACCAGAACCCCTCTACAGGGGATTCAGGGACATTACAAGAATGGAAATCGGCCGGAAAATACTAGCTGACCTGGATGAGCTTGCCTTTCTCGTGGGAAAGTTACAAAGGATGTATGAACAAGGCCATGTTTTGTCTACAAGTGCCATAACTTTTGAGTCAACAATAAATGCACCTACTGAGTTGGAAAAGGACTTGAAAACCCAGGCAGCAGAACAAGAAAAGAACTTAGGCAAAATTGAGGAAGTGGAAGAAGTGGAAGAAGATGCTGATCAGAAGGAGCAAGAAGGAGGGGTTGCAATGTTGCAGAGGGCAATGGTGAGCCTGAGGCCTGTGAAGATGGAGACTACAATTTTGATCAAGGTGGAAGCTGGAATTTTTGGGACATTTGGATTTAAAAAGATTAAGAAACAAGATTTGAGCTCCACCTTTAAACATGGAGGTCTGGTCTGGCTGGAAGGATCATGGAAGCTATAGGGATTGTGCCCCTCCGAGCCTTGGTGTCAAATACAAAGGACTGTCAAAAAAACCGGCAGAGAGGGACTGAAAGAGATTTAAGGGCCTCAGATGTGAGGTTGCCAGGCTGAAGCAGATGGACTAATGGACAATGGTTTTGGGATCGAAGCCGGGGAAGGGAGGGTGGGGTCTGGAAATCCGAAGGGTGTCTATTTTTTCTTTCTTTTTTCTTTTTAATTTTGTGTTGTTATTAGTATAAAAATGGGGAATCCGTGGAAGGGAAACTGGGTCGACCTTAGGGGGAAAAAAATTTAAGCTAATTGATCGATGTATATAAGTTAAAAGTTGATATATAAATTGAACTAAATATAATAACAGATTAAGGTTAAAAATTTAGGGATAAGAACTTGTTGGATAAATATTTGGACATGGAATACAAGAAGGGGAGGTGAGGGGAAGTACTGGAAAGAAGGTATTGAAAATTTGGAATGCAATGAATGTTTTTTCTTCTTTTTTTCTTTTTATTTTTTGTATTATTTGAAATTTCAATAAATATTATATATATATATATATATATATATATATAGTAAATAACTAAATGCAAAACAGAAGGCCTGAGAAATCTTGAGCTTGGCTGTGGGTAGTGGCGTAATTTCTGGTCTCCCTTTTGCCCTGAACAATAATACATAAGTGTTGCATCGAGGATAGATCATTAAGCTTGGAGTGATGTCTTTTTCATTCCGCACCTGGCTGAAATGCTTCAACAGGGTGGCAAATCAGACCCTGTGCCTTCGTTTTACTTTGAAGAGTAAAATGCAGCCAGAGTTTCCAAAGCCACTTCTTCATGGGGTTGTCGGCCTGAAGATATTTACAAAAACTTATTTCTTTTCTCAGACAAATCAAAGGCAGCAGAGCCAGCAATTAAATGCAGAAATATGTGGGAGGTAAAGATGGCAAAGTGGGTGTCTCTCTGAGGAGTGAGTTATGCTCAGAGGATAAGCACTCTGCATACATGTTCAGAGGCATTTTGGCCTGAGATTGGGGTGTGTGGAGACTAGTCTGCTGGGCACTCTGCACATGCATCAGAGACATCTTGACATCAGATAATAATAATAATAATAATAATAATAATAATAATAATAATAATAATAATAATAATTTTTTATTTATACCCTGCCCATCTGGCTGGGTTTCCCCAGCCACTCTGGGCGGCTTCCAAACGAATATTAAAAACAATACAGCATCAGAGGTTAAAAACTTCCCTAAACAGGGCCACCTTCAGTTGTCTTTTAAAAGTAAAATAGTTGTTTATTGCCTTGACATCTGGAGGGAGGGCGTTCCACAGGGCGGGTGCCACCACCGAGAAGGCCCTCTGCCTGGTTCCCTCTAACTTCGCTTCTCACAGGGAGGGAACCACCAGAAGGCCCTCAGCGCTGGACCCCAGTGTCCGGGCAGAACGATGGGGGTGGAGACGCTCCCTCAGGTCTACTGGACCGAGGCCGTTTAGGGCTTTCAAGGTCAGCACCAACACTTTTGAATTCTGCTCGGAAATGTCCTGGGAGCCAATGTAGGTCTTTCAAGACTGGTTTTATGTGGTCTCGGCGGCCACTGCCAGTCACCAGTCTAGCTGCCGCATTCCTGGATTAATTGCAGTTTCTGGGTCACCTTCCAAAGTAGCCCCACGTAGAGCGCATTGCAGTAGTCGAAGCGGGAGATAACCAGAGCATGCACCACTCTGGCGAGACAGTCCGCGCGAAGGGAGGGTCTCATCCTGCGTACTAGATGGAGCTGGTAAACAGCTGCCCTGGACACATTTACTTTTAACACATTTGGTCTGTGCATTTAGCCCGGAGGTCAGGGTTAAATCTCCTTCTCCTGATGGGAACATGATCTCTACATGCTCACAGAGGCACCTGGACCTGAGGTTATTCCAATAAACTGGACCTGCTCAGAGGACAAGCCACCCTCAGATCCACTTTGGCCTGAGCTCTTTTTATTTTTTGAACCACTAATTCTGCTGCCTGGAAACGAACACTCTGCACGGGCTCAGAGGCACCTTGATGTAAGGCACTCTGTAAACCCTAAGTAGCATTTGGCCAAGAAGTATTTTTTTAACTAGCACTCTGCACACGCACAGAGACATTTTGTCATGAAAAAAATCTTGTCCTTCGGGGCAGGCGAATAAACACTCTGCGTATGCTCAGGAACCCATTTCCTCAGGCGCCAGTTGGTTTTCCAATCCACTCTTACGATTTGATTGGCTCCCTTGCCAATTGATCCCTCCCGAGGTCATAACCGGCCGCTCCCTCATTGGCCCAACGAGCCCCTTCGCTTATTTCTATTGGCTACAGAAGATGCCCGTCTAATTCGAACGTCTCTCCTCCCGCTCGTTTCCCCCCTCCCTTTTCTTTCGGCTGTCCTGTCACTCGTCGGACAAAGCCGCTCCGGATTGGTCGGCTGAGACGCCGCCCGCCACCGGGGACTCGGCTCCTGATTGGGCCCGAGGCCCGCCGCTCACCTCAGAGCGGGGGATGGGGCGGGGCCAATCTTTAGAAAGGGGGCGGTGGAGGCGGCGGCCATTTTGGCTCTGCTGTGGAAGAGACGGGAGAGCGCGGCGAAGAGGGCGCCGGAGCAGGAGCGCCGGCCTCGCCTGGCCCCAGCGCCTCACCGTCTCGCCCTCCTGCCTCTAAGCCCAAGGCCCCGTCATGTCTGACACGCTTGGCGGCGGCGGCGACGCCCGTTCTAACGAGACGGGCGAAGAGAAACAGGTGAGGTCGGGGAGGGGGAGCGAGGGAGCGCTCTGTCGCTGGTGTGTGGGTCTGAGTCCTGATTGGTCCGCCGGCTCTCGAAGCTGCTTCCGATTGGTCGCTCCCGAGCAATGCTCGGCGCTCATTGGTTGGCGCCTTCCAGGCAGGTGCCCTTTCCGGTATTGGAGGCCGTTGGAACCATAGAGATTCATTCTGAACTTCCGGCTTTTTTCAGCAAGACCCCCCCCCCACCAGGATTCTCTCTCATTTTGGCATCTCTGGGTTTAAAAAGCCACTATTTTTAATTATGCATTAAAAAATGCATAGTTGACATTGGAAAGGGAAGGGGGGATTTGTCCGTTGTTGGGAGCGCGTTCCCGTTAAGTCGACCAAAATGTCACAAAACTCTGCAAGCTTTTGGGTTTCCCAGAGCTCTTCGTGAGCGTGCAAGCTTTTGTGAAATGCAGGACTCTTCCTATGGCTCTCCCGCTGAGGAGATTTGAGGGGCTTCGCTTGCACGCTGTTTTGTAACATTTGGCTGGCTTTGTTGTTTAGTCGTGTCCGCCTCTTCGTGACCCCCTGGACCAGAGCACGCCAGGCCCTCCTGTCTTCCACTGCCTCCCGCAGTTTGGTCAAACTCATGTTGGCACCTTCGAGAACACTGTCCCACCATCTCATCCTCTGTCGTCCCCTTCTCCTTGCGCCCTCCATCTTTCCCAACATCAGGGTCTTGTCCAGGGAGTCTTCTCTTCTTGGCTGGCCTACTAAAAGTAAATGGAGACACGGGTGGCGCTGTGGGTTAATCAGAAGGTCGGCGGTTCAAATCCCCGCGACGGTGTGAGCTCCCGTTGCTTGGTCCCTGTTCCTGCCAACCTAGCAGTTCGAAAGCACGTCAAAGTGCAAGTAGATAAATAGGCACCACTCTGGTGGGAAGGTAAATGGTGTTTCCGTGCGCTACTCTGGTTTCGCCAGAAGCGGCTTAGCCATGCTGGACACATGACCCGGAAGCTGGACGCCGGCTCCCTCGGCCAATGAAGCGAGATGAGCACTGCAACCCCAGAGTCGGCCAACACTGCACCTAGTAGTCAGGGGTCCCTTTACCTTTACTAAAAGTAATGTTCACATGTGAGTAAGGAGCTCGGGAAAACTTTTGATGCCCTGGTTAGCTTGGCATTGCCCTAAATATGCATTTTGACTGATTTTACATTTGAGTGGAAATCTAGTTCCATTTGAAACCAGAAGAACATAAGAGGACCCTTGCTGGATCAGGCTGATGACACATCTAGTTCAGCATCCCCTTCTTACATTGGTCAACCAGATGCCTGCTACAGGGTACCCACAAGCAGGGCTTGAGCACAAGAGCAACTCTCTCTTCCCTTTCATGGTTCCCAGCAACTCGTCTTCAGAAGCATTGCTGCATCTGGGTGTGAAGGCAGAGCCTAGCCATCATGGCTAGTAGCCGCTAATATATCCTTATCTTCCATAAGTTTCACTAAGGACTGGGTTGGTGAGTGACTAGCGTTTTAAAAGAAATCCCTAGCTCTACATCTTGAAAAGTGGGAATTGGTTCAGCTCTTACAGTAGAGGATCATGGGGTACAGATTCCATGCTCTTGAACTTGGATCATTGAGGGGGGACATATTTGAGCTAGGAACTGGGGAAGGGGAACAACTATAAAGCCAGTTTTCAACCTTAGGTGCTAGGAAACTGTGTGATACCCATTTGCAGACATGCGTCCAGAAAGAAGATTCCACCTAAACATTAGGAAGAACTTCCTGACAGTAAGAGCTGTTCGACAGTGGAATTTGCTGCCAAGGAGTGTGGTGGAGTCTCCTTCTTTGGAGGTCTTTAAGCAGAGGCTTGACAACCATATGTCAGGAGTGCTCTGATGGTGTTTCCTGCTTGGCAGGGGGTTGGACTCGATGGCCCTTGTGGTCTCTTCCAACTCTATGATTCTATGATTCTATGAATTTCTGCTACAACTGACCAATCTTACTAGGACTGTGTTGCACAGCTACTGCGCCAATGCTGGTGGGTGTGAAATAGAATGGCGAGGCTTGTGGGACCTGTCACTCATCATAGAACAGGAGTGGGAAACATCCAGATATTCTCAGAACACAACCCCCATCATCCCTGCCAATTGACCATGTTGGCTGCTGGGAGTTGGAGTTCAAAACATCTGGAAGATGTCAGGTTGAGAGAGGCAGCCCTACATGCGGTTAAGACTAGAACCTGGAGAATTCAAATTCCCACTCAGCCTTGACGCTCACTGAGTGACCTTGGACCAGTCGCTTTCTTTCAGCCTAACTTAGTTCACAGGGCTGTTGAGGATAAAATAGGGAGAGGAGGACCATGTATGCACCTTGTGCTCCTTGGAGGAAAAAGGTTGGGATAGAAGTACAGTCAATCAATAAATAGCTGATGGAGCTCAGATAAAATCAGCCCTTCATATTTCCAGACAATATTTCTCTCCTCCCCTTGCTCAAAATAATGTGGTTTCAAAATTAGCAAAGAGAACATAAAGTTATGGGTACGTCAAGAAGTGGGGCCACCATACACCTGGATTTCCCCTGACATTACCGGGATTTTAAAGGCGGAATTGACGTCTGCAGGGAATTTCCTATCGAGAAGGATAATGAGATCAAATCCTTTGTGGTTCCAAGACGGTACATTTTCTGATATTTTACAATGGATATTTACAAGCAGGAACATGTCAGGAGAAGGGTAACAAAGTTGGCATGGGACTTGGAGATCAAAATCCTATGAGGAAGTGTAGAGGTGGAGTGGTTGGCCACGTTAGCCTGGAGAATGCACCATTGAGAAATGCTACGGTAGCCATTTTCAAGCATTTAAAGGGACAAGTCCGAGAAGATGCAGCAAATTCATTTTCTGTTGCTCCAGGAAGGTAGTATCCCAGCAGGTTCAGAAAGGGGTTTTGACTGAACAAAGTACTTCCTGGTGGAATGAGCTGTTCGATGGCAGATCAGTTTGCTTTGGACGTTGGTAGGCTCTTACTCATTGGTGACTTATTTAGATGCTGGGTGACCATCTATTAGGGCTATTACTGAGGGCTCCTTCCAATACAGCTGCATCATTCAGAGTCTGAGACCATTGATCTGGGATGGCCTGCACTGTCTAATATGCCTGACCGTCACCCACCAAGGTCTGTGGCAGAAATCTTTAACTCCCAGCCCTGTGAGCTGGAGATTCAACCTGGGGGCTTTTGTGAGTCAATCATGCACTCTACCCCTAAGCTCTAGGTCCCTCTTTCTGCTTGTCACAGTTGGAGGCAGGATGCTGGGGCTCAGACAAGCTGCTTGTCTGAGAGTATGCAAAGGAGTCTCTTGACAAAGGTGGAACAAGTCGCCCATTTGAACCTGGCCCCTCTCATTTTCAACCAAGGACCCCTTTTCATCCTTATGTGGTTAATTGGGATTTCTGCCTACAAAGCCAGCCAGGCAGAGCTGAAGGGTGTGTGTGATCTCCCACCTGATGGGGCACATCAAGCTTGGGTTACTGGTTGCCCCAAATAAACGGCTCAGGACTGATGTCTCTGCCAAGCTCAGATTGGCATGGGGGAAAGCTTTAGCAGAGCGACAGAATTTTAGGAAGCAAGAATCACCGGTGGGGCATCCAGTTTGGCATCGCCCAGATAAGTGATGTCTGTTGATCTCTGCTGACATGACTTTGCAGGGCTCTGCAAACATAATTGGGTTGGCTTGGGTGAGATCTAGGTTGTGTCACACTTGGTTTGTGTGTTGCTGCTTTTTGAAGAAGAACAATATTTATCAAGCTGAGGGTCTTGATGCTGTAAAGGTAAAGGACCCCTGACAGTTAAGTCCAGTCGCGAACGACTCTGGGGTTGTGGCACTCATCTCACTTTACTGGCCGAGGGAGCCGACGTTTGTCCACAGACAGTTTTTCCAGGTCGTGTGGCCAGCATGACTAAGCCACTTCTGGCAAAACCAGAGCAGCACACGCCATTTGCCTTCCCGCCGGAGTGGTACTTATTTATCTACTTGCACTTTTTGGGGTGCTTTCGGACTGCTAGGTTGGCAGGAGCTGGGACCGAGCAACGGGAGCTCACCTTGTTGCAGGGATTTGAACCGCCGACCTTCTGTTCGGCAAGCCCTAGGCTCAGTGGTTTAGACCACAGCGCCACCCTCGTCCCCTTGATCCTGTACCTTCCTCTTAATTGTGATGGGATTTTTGAGTTCGTGGAGAAGCTTGGAAAAGTCCCAAGTTCTTCTCCTGAAGACATCCTGCAAGGCAGTGGAGGTTTAGGATCAGAGTTTTCCTTCTAGATGGTCTCCCTCCCCAGGCTGATGAGCTACACCTGCCCCTCACTTCCCTCTACAGCGCGAGCAGAAACCGGCTTCTTGACATTCGGACCCACTATTGGTCTTGCGGCTGAGTCTTTCAGAGCCTGTATTCACATGCAGGGGAAGTCCCTAACTCACAGAGGGCTTGAGACCCATCGGGTACCCTCACCTGACCTGGTTTAGCTGGGCGGTTGAAGTTGCTTCCTGGGGTGTGGCCTCTGTCACATGCCGACAGCTTCTTGGAGCCATAGGTGAGCTGAGTGCAGGGTGGGGACCGCCAAAGGTGAACAACCTACCCCAGAAGGAACATGTGTCCCCCAGCCAGAGGTACCGCCCCTCCCCTAGCACAATTGTTCTTGTAACTGTCTTTTACATTAATATTATCGTTATTACAGTGGACGCTCAGGTTGCGAACGTGATCCGTGTGGGATGCGCGTTCGCAACCTGCAGCGTTCGCAATGCACGAGTTGCAATTTGGTACTTCTGCGCATGTGCAAAGCTCGATTTAGCGCTTCTGCGCATGTGCGACTGTCGAAACCCGGAAGTAACCCGTTCCGGTACTTCCGGGTTTTTGCAGTCCGCAACCCGAAAAACGCAACCTGAAGCGGACGCAACATGAAGTATGACTGTACTACTGTATTAATTTATTTTTCTATTTACACAATAACATCATTACCAACTCTCCCTGAAATACAGAGACAGCATTAAAGAAAAGTGCATTGGAAACAGGACTTGGAGTGACGCTGTGTTCTTATGTTCTTTTTTCAAAAAAGGAATCTTTTGTCAGCCTGAATCTGAGTCACAGAAGCTGCAATCCAAAGAGCAGAATTAGCTGCAGATTTATTTATAATGCATCTATACTAGCTGCTACACCCAGTTCAAAAGTGGGAAAGGCAGCAGCCCTGCCCTGGAGGCTTAATATTGAATGCTGCGCTGACGCACATCGCCCCCCCACCCTGAGCGGAGGATCGCTTGCTGCGCTGACATAACAGTACCAAAAGCCATTCTCCCTCATCCCACATAATTCCTCCACACAAGTATTATTTTCGCCCCTTGTTTTGCCTTTCCTGTGTCATACACTTTCCTGAGTCATCCACTTATTGTGAACGCTGCCCACAGAATCTGCTCTTAGCTACCGCCTGGCAATTTAACCATTCAAGCGTCCTGTCTTTCCCAGAGACGGAGTGTTTGCTTCCTCCTAATGCACAAGATAAAGAGGCTTTTTTTAATAATAAAAAAAGATAGTACAGAGCCTTCATAGAATCATAAAACTGTAGAGTTGGAAGTGGGCCACATGTGGAGGAATTATAGTTAATAATCCCTGATGGATGGTCTTCTAGCCTCTGCTTAAAAACCTCCATCTTCCCAGGCAGTCCGCTTTCATCTTCCCAGGCAGTCCACTCCGCTGTCAAGCAGCTCTGTCAGAAAGTTATTCCTGCAGAGAGCTAATTCACATATTTCATGAAGGGTTTAAAAAAAAACAACAGAATAGCTGTGAAGGCCCGTCACCATTGGCTGAAATTGCTGTGATGTCATGGAGTGCATCTGTCGGGCACAGGATATTGATAGGTCATGAGGAGAGCAAAATGTCATTTTGCTGCGGCCGGGCAGGTGCAGTGGAGAAATAGGAGTTCCTTAAAAACTAGGAGGAACAAAGTAAATAAAAGAAAGGTGTGCAGCTGTTGACTTGAGAGAAGGAAGGTTAAGTAAGGCAGGTGCCTGAGGAAAAGACTGAGAGCAAGGCATGTAAAGGTGGGGAGGATGAAGAACCGAACACAGGCCCCAGGCCCGGGAGGGCCTGTTGGTGGGAAGCTGTGTAAACAGGGAAAGGGGTGTGTTGAACTTACATATGGATTAGTCTTGAGGGATAGACCTCTTGGCTGTAAGTTCTCGTTTGAACATTAAAATGATGAACTAAAACCTTGCCAACAAAGGTCCGTATAGTCAAAGCTCTGGTTTTCCCAGTAGTGATGTATGGAAGTGAGAGCTGGACCATAAAGAAGACTGATCACCGAAGAATTGGTTCTTTTGAATTCTGGTGCTGGAGGAGACTCTTGAGAGTCCCATGGACTGCAAGAAGATCCAACCGATCCATTCTGAAGGAAATCAGCCCTGAGTGCTCCCTGGAAGGACAGATCCTGAAGCTGAGGCTCCAAGACTTTGGCCACCTCAGGAGAAGAGAAGACTCCCTGGAAAGACCCTGATGTTGGGAAAGATGGAGAGCACAAGGCGAAGGGGACGACAGAGGACGAGATGGGGGGACAGTGTTCTCGAAGCTACCAGCATGAGTTTGACCAAACTGTGGGAGGCAGTGGAAGACAGGAGTGCCTGGCGTGCTCTGGTCCAGGGGGTCACAAAGAGGCGGACACGACTAACGACTAAACAACAGCAAAGCACCACAAAAGCAGGACATTTGACCCTGCCTGCTCAGTGAGGGTTTAATGGCCGGTGATGGGATCTGAACTCTGACCCAGTGCTCCTTCAAGTGATCTCTGCTAAGAAGTGTGTGTCAGGAGAGCCTGAGGTGGCCTTCCAAAGTTTTGCTGAGCTCTGACATTCAAGTGCGGTTTTCCAATTTGGCAGCAGAGGCCCTTGAGCTGAGCTCAGCAGCTTCTAGCGCCGGGTGTGGAGGCTCCGAGCAAAGAGAGAAGGGAACTCTGCCTGCAGACTTCTTCCCATGAGGATGAGCAAGAGAATGACTGGGATGAAAGCATGGGACCTCTCAGAAATGCTTCTTAAGCAGTAAATAACAAGTGAGCACCTTGAGGACTAGAAACTTGGGTTGATCTGTTTTTTAATAGGTTCTTCTTCCCTCAAAAAACCACACCCCTGGCCTTATTGTGTTGCAGCAATATAATATCCATTGCCAAGGTTTGTGGATCCCACCTCCCTTGCATCAATCATACGGGAGGTTGGTCTAGAATCGTAGAGTTAGAAGGGACCCCAAGGGTCATCTAGTCCAACCCCCTGCAATGCAGGAATCTCAGCTAAAGCATCCATGACAGGTGGCCATTCAACCTCTGCTTAGAAACCTCCAAGGAAGATCTAGATGTGCCTCTGCCAGTTCTGCGTTTCAGTGGTCATGGAAGGTGCCTCATCTCACACCTTCCAGCCCAAATCTATGGGAAAGTTGATATTTAGCCGCACTACAATTGCCGGCTTGCCTCACACATCTCTAGCTTCGCAGTTATGGCTGGCTTCTTTCCAAGCGGAACGGCTTCTAGCCTGCTGGCAGAGAAACCTGGGTCTCCCCGACCCCTCCTGGGTTTACAGACCTGGCTTGTACGGTCTCCTCCTTGGGTCAATAAGAGAGCTGGGGTGTAACTTCTCTGCAGGCGAGTTTTTTCCTTTTAGACCGTGCAGTCGTGATTTATTTCCATCCCAAAGCCTCCTGACAGGTAGCAGCAGATTTCCCAAAAGTGTTCCCTCCCTTCCCGCCCCCCCACTCCCAATTAAAACTGAGGAGCAGTGGCGTGTATTTTCCTAAAGATGTTAGAACGAGTTGGGTTTACGGGCCAAGGGCAGTGCATTCAGGAGCATGGCTGCCCTCCGGCACATGCTAGTCTGAAAATAGTCGGACGTTCCAGATGGTGCTCGTGACTCAACAAAGGGCATCCTGGCCTGGAGGTTTATAATGGAAGAGGGACTCGGCAGAAGTCAATAAAGGCTGAACCTGCCTCTCTCCCCATCTCTCTTTCGTGCTTGCTCATATCCGCACACACAGACACACACACAGTCTCTCTCTCTCTCTCTCTCTCTCTCTCTCTCTCTCTCTCTCTAATGGAGCAAAGCAAAAACTAGCATTGCCCCTATATTACTCCTTTATATCCTGGCATTGTTACTGTCGATCAGATTTCTTACCTGCATGAGGTCCCAGGTCGAGTTGTAACCATTAAAAAATATATTAAAACAATTAAAATTAATGTATGCACCACTTTCCTTGAAAGGAGCTCAGGGTTACATAACATCTTCATTTTGACAATTTAGATACCACTTGGATTAAAACAAAACTCTTAAGGGGTTCACAGCGCAGATTAAAATGCTTTAGCTAAACTACAAATACTGTTGTTACTGTTGTAGTAATAATAGTAAGGATGTTCTATATATGCTGTTGTGTTGTTTTGTTAGGTCATTGTGAAATCGTTTTTGCACTGTTTGCTTTTTGAAATGCATTCGTTTTCTTGTGGTAAGCTACTTTGAACATGATTTTTTGTTTGTACGAGAAATAAAATGAATGAATGAAGGAGGTGAGGGTTAATTTAACTTAACTCAAAGGAAGAAAATCTCAGCAACTTAGAAGAGCCACCTTTTTCCTTGCAATGACCCTGTTGGCTAGGTTAGGCTAAAAGGGCGTGACTGGCACCAAGGTGAACTTCAAGGCAGGGCAAGGATTTGGAACAAGCTCTATATAAGCCTTGGGGCCCTGCTCTCCTGCTGCAACTGGGCCTCAGGATGATTCCTATCCTTGGCAAGCGTTGGGGGGCACACATCTTTTGGGCCAGCTGGACTCCCAAATCAAATGTAACTGCTCTGAGAAATGAATCGGCATTGAGACGAGGGGAGTTGTGCATCTTTATGTAAATAATCAGCAGGAGAAACATGCGTTCTCTTCCCTGTCTGCAAGAGAAGCTGGTTTGCCGATTGGGAATGTCTGCTCTTCCCAGCGCTCACCTCTCCTTGCCCAAGCAAATAGCCCCCTTCCCCTTGTTCACATTTCACGGGCACAGGTGTGAACTGTGGTTCGCCCCAACCTGGAGTCCCCACTTCAAAAGCACACTCTTTGCTTTCCAGAGAAGCGCTGCTCACAGTCAGAGAGGAGCCAAAGCAGTCCTGTTTGCTCAAACGGCTGGGTTTCATTTCTTGCGGGTTTTTCTTTCTTTCAGGATTCGCAGGAGAAGGAAGCGGTCATCCCCGAGAGAGCGGAGGAGGCAAAACTCAAAGCCAAATACCCCAGTTTAGGACTCCAGAAACCCGGCGGCTCCGACTTCCTAATGAAAAGACTCCAGAAGGGGGTATGTGTGCCGAGAGAGAGAGAGAGAGTTCAATTCTGAAAGCTTACAGCAGGGCTGCAGAGGGCTAGAGCAGAGGCAGTGGGCTTTTAATAATAATGATGATGATAATTATTATTATTATTATTATTATTATTATTAAATAATAATTAATAATAATTTATTTATACCCCGCCCTCCCCAGCCAAGACCAGGCTCAGGGCGGCTAACAACCAATAATAAAAACAAGTTGATTAAAATACAATTTAAAAAACAAGATTAAAATAAAACATAAGGATGCAGCCTCTTCACAGGAGTAGAAAGGAAAAAGAAAGAGGGGGAGGGAATCAAACTGATTCTAAGCCAAAGGCCAGGTGGAACAAATCTGTCTTACAGGCCCTGCGGAAAGAAATCTGATCCCGCAGGGCCCTGGTCTCATGAGACAGAGCTTTCCACCAAGTTGGGGCCAGTGCTGAAAAGGCCCTGGCTCTGGTTGAGGCTAATCTGACTTCCTTAGGGCCCGGGACCTCGAGGGTGTTGCTATTTATGGACCTTAAGGTCCTCCTTGGGGCATACCAGGAGAGGCGGTCCCGTAGGTATGAGGGTCCTTTTGTGGGAAGCCTCATGATAAAGTCCTCCACATATTTAAACTGTGGAACTCTCTCCCACAGGAGACAGCCATGGCCACCAGCTTGGGTGCTTTTAAAAGGAGATTGAACAGGTGCTTGGAGGATAAGGCTATCAGTGGCCATTAGCCCCAGTGGCTCTGCCTTCACTCTTTGAAGGCCCATAGCACTTTTGAACGCCAATTGCTGCAAACCGCAGGAAGGGGAGAGGGCTCTTGTGGTCGGGTCCTGCTTGGAGGCTTCCTGTGGGGGCAGTGCTGTCCAGGGTTGTAAAGACTGCGGAGAGAATAATTGGGTGCACTCTTCCCACCTTGGATCAAATCGATGCTTCCAGGTGCCATAAGAAAGCTGCAGAGATAGCGCAGGATAGTGCGCACCCCGGAAATGATCTCTTTCAGCTTCTGCCTTCTGGAAGAAGGTACAGTGGTGCCTCGCAAGACGAAAAGAATCTGTTCCGTGAGTCTCTTTGTCTTGCGGTTTTTTCGTCTTGCGAAGCAAGCCCATTAGCGGATTAGCGCTATTAGCGGCTTAGCGGGCTTAGCGGACCAGCTGATAAGCGGCTTAGCGGATCAGCTGATAAGCGGCTTAGCGGATCAGCTGTTAAGCGGCTTAGCGGATCAGCTGATAAGCGGCTTAGCGGATCAGCTGTTTAGCGGCTTAGCGGATCAGCTGTTAAGCGGCTTAGCGGATCAGCTGATAAGCGGCTTAGCGGCTTGGGAAAAGGGGGGGAAACCCTGCAGGAACTCGCAAGACATTTTCGTCTTGTGAAGCAAGCCCATAGGAAATTCGTTTTGCAAAGCACCTCCAAAACGGAAAACCCTTTCGTCTAGCGGGTTTTCCATCTTGCGAGGCATTCGTCTTGCGGGGCACCACTGTACAGGGTTATAAAGACTAGGACTAGCCGCCTAAGAAACAGTTTCTATCCAAATGCGCTTTATGTGGGTATATTGTATTCAATTATGGGGTATCAGAGTTTTTAGGGGCTGACTAGGCTGGGGTAGCAGGCTTGTCTGGGACAATGACAATAAAGATTATCGTATCGTATCTGGTTGGCCGCTTGGAGAAAAGGATGCTCAGCTAGATGGGCCATTGGTCAGGTCCAGCAGAACCTCTTCTTAGCTTTGGCTCAGCGGCGTCCTGAACTCTCGGCACATTGCTGACCTCTTCTCTCAATAATAATAATGATAATGATGAATTATTTATACCCCGCCCATCTGTCTGGGTTTCCCCAGCCACTCTGGGCAGCTCCCTACTATTATTAATAATAATAATAACAATAGCGATAAAAGATCAAACATTAACAACTTCCCTAAACAGGGCTGCCTTCAGATGTCTTCTAAAATTCAGATAGTTGTTTATTTCCTTGACATATGACGGGAGGGCGTTCCACAGGGCAGGCGCCACTACCGAGAAGGCCCTCTGCCTGGTTCCCTGTAACTTGGCTTCTCTTAGGGAGGGAACCGCCAGAAGTCCCTCGGAGCTGGACCTCTGTGTCTGGGCTGAACGATGGGGGTGGAGACGCTCCTTCAGATATACTCGGTCTTTGAGGCCATTTAGGGCTTTAAAGGTCAGCACCAGAACTTTGAATTGTGCTTGGAAACGTACTGGGAGCCAATGTAGGTCTTTCAGGACCGGTGTTAGGTGGTCTCGGTGGCCGCTCCCAGTCACCAGTCTAGCTGCCGCATTCTGAATTAGTTGTAGTTTCTGGGTCACCTTCAAAGGTAGCCCCAGATTCGAAAAATACACATTTGTCTCTCCCGCTTTCCAGCAAAAGTACTTCGACTCCGGGGATTACAACATGGCAAAGGCCAAGATCAAGAACAAGCAGCTGCCAACCGCAGGGACCGACAAGAACTTGGTGACGGGAGACCACATCCCGACGCCGCAAGATCTCCCGCAGAGGAAATCCTCCCTCGTGACCAGCAAGCTGGCAGGGTAACCTGCGCTCCTCCGCCTCCCGATGAGTTTTCTTCTTCTTTTTTTCCTTTTGGGGTTTTTTTGATTTATTTTTATTATGTATATTTTTTTGGTCAGATGGATTGAACTTTGCTGTATCATAAGGCTGGGATAATGCAGGACTCGTTTTAGCCGTCGGAAATATTTATACAAATCCCAAACCAGGAGCCTGGCACGTGGACGTGGTTTATTCTTTGCAGTTCTGATCTGATGTCCTTTCCCGCCCCCGCCCTCCGTTCTCTTGAGGTTCTTAAATTTTGCTCACCCGCCAGGATGAGTTAAGAACCTCACTTTCAAGTGGGGTGGGGGGTGTCCTGCCGGGCCAAAGCCAGATTTTTCTATGCTGCTGTTGCTTGTTCCTGCGACGCTGCGGAAGGCCAGTGGAATAGCACCAGCCCCACCTGTGAGTTCCCCCCCCCCCCCCGCTGTGAACTCTGAAAGCGAGATCCGGAACTGCCAGTGGCGTCGGAGAAAGCCTAAGAGCAGGATCATAATTAAGAATAACACTAAACATTTTTATATAACATGTCTGGGTTCACACAGCCATTGTGGCAACAGCACTATGAAGGTAGTCCAGGATGCTTGGCCCCACACGGCAGGTGGTGAGCCAGGGCCTTGCGGCCTAGAGAGACAGGCTTGCTTTCGGTCACTTTGGGAGCTCTTTACAGGGGTGAGATTAGAACTGGGAGCTGCTTGAGACAGGGCCCAGGTTCTCGAACCTCATCGCTATGCCAGCTCTCGTAAGAAGAGCCCTGCTGATTTTTAGATCAAGGATTCAGCTAGTTCCGCATGTTGTTTCTCTCTGGGGTCTAAAGCCCAACACCTGGCACGTACGAGGGTGCCATTCAGCATCCCTCCTAGCAGGGGCTGATGGGAATTGTAGTCCAAGACATCTAGAGAGGGCTCTAGGTTGGGGAAGGGCTGGTTCAAACAGGATTTTTTGTTTCATTTCAACATTTTCTAAGCTAAGATGGCAAAAGCTTGATGGGCATTGGTCCGTGACCTTGTGGGTGAGCTAGGCTGCTCGGAGTCTCCACGCAGAGGGTTTTGGTGAACGCTGTGTCTCTTTGGCAAACTGAGGAGGGGCAGGAGTCACGGAGTGCCACCTCCCACCCCGAAGGCCGCCTGAGCCGACTTTTGGCCCAATGTGGCTCTTAAGGGGTAGACGGTCCGTTATCAACTTGCAGAGGATCCGGGGTGCTGTGTTCGTTTCAAAGCAAGAGTTTTGAAAAGCGTTTTTGCCAGACCAACTTTAGGCAGGTGTAAAGAATGTGGAGAGTTTTAAGTTTCACAAGGCTCTTCAGCAAACAGGCAGGCCGCCACTGCCGCACCGGTCGGCATCTAGCTTTTCCTCGAGGGCCCTTTGACACAGAGTGACCGCGGGTGGCTCAAAGTCCCAGCACCCCACTCCCCAAATGGTTGTGCTTCCCTCGTGGATTTTTTAAAAACCACAACATGAAATTCTGTGCCAATGGAAGCAGAAGGTCGGTTATCTGGATCAGTCGAGGAAATTGCAGGGGCCGCAGAGATGTTTGCTGCTTCTCAGTCCTGATTATGGGGAAGGAGAGATCTCAGCCGATCCGGCAGCACTCGGCTTCTGACATTGCAGCAAAATATATTGCCATGTCCTTTTGAGGCTTGAGGACTAGGACCTTGGCTTAGTTTGTAAACGGGTGCTGAAATCCTTGACCTACAGAGTTTCCCTCTCCATCGCTGCCCTCTACCAAACTGCAAGGTATTCTGTTCACAGGGTCTGATGCTGCCTTGTTTGGAAGTGACCTTGATTCCAATGTTGTTCTTGACAACTTTTAACTCTTCCCCCCCGCCCTGCCCAAAAAAAGCGTTTAGAAAATGGACACAAATTCATCCCCAATTCAGTTGGTGAGTGTAAATAAAATAACTTTTATGCCTAAGGAAAGCAGGTCGGATTTCTATTTGAGAAAAGAGAGTTGGTAAGAGAATCATGATGACTATAATGGAAATCTTTTAGCTTTGAATTCAAGCATCTGGGTCTCGGGTGGCAAATTTGAGGGTTTTATTTGGCAGTGACCAGGTGGTTCCAGAGACACCCATATACCTCGACGCTCGGCTCTGTTTGAACCTCCCAGGGTCTCGTTGTGTGAAAAACCTTTTCCTTAAAAAATATTGAGCTGAGTTCTGCCATTCAGCACCTCCAATCCCTTGATTCCCCCCCCCCCCCAAAAAATTAATTGGATTTTCAAATTAACAAAATTCAGTGCCTTAAGTGGGATGAGCTACGGCCAAGTTAGCTTGACCTTAAGAGTAGGCTCAGCTTCTGGCGGATTTCGAAATGAAATATCTCATCCGTTAGTTGATTTCCCACTGTCGCCCACTCTAAATCTCTGGTTCCCCACCCCTTCAAAAAATTAGGATTTTATTGCCTCTTCGTGTTCAGGGCATCCTTTGCCAAATAGGCCTTCCAGATGTGTCAGACTACAAATCCCATCAGCCCCAGCCAGCACAGCCTCATGGGAGTTGTAGTCCAAAACAGAGGGCAGCAGGTTGAGGACAGCTGGGTCAGGGAAACCGATCCTGTAGCAAGGAGCAAGTTCTTCCCGATGGCTATCCTTGAAGCTTCTGAAATAATACTGCACACAGCAACAGGCGGAGCTGAACTCCTCCTCTAAAAGAAAAAGCAAAAGCACAAAAGATTAATTTGCTGCTGCTGAAAAGATTTAAAAACAAAATCTAGCATCTTGCCTCTCCCCCAACCACCCGTGTGGGTCCTCACAGCCTACAACAGAGTTTGTAATAATTAATTTGGCTCCATTTATTACAGGGCTGTGAGGGCGAATGAGAAAGTAAAAAAGGGCAGCAGGGGGAATCTGTGTCCTAGCTACTGTCCTGGGCTTTGCCTTTCGATGGCACCCGAGAAAGTTCTCTGCAGTTTCCATAGAACGAGACCCCCACCTGTTAAATGTTCTGCCTTCTTGAGTTGACAGCTCTTTGGTGGGGCAGTGTTGCAAGAAAAATGTTTGTGTGAAGCCTCCTTCCCCCTGTGACCTCTGGCAATCCCGTCCCGCCTCATCTCTTGGCTTGAGGGATTTCACCAAGCACTCCTTGCTAGTAACGCTGATCCTGTGGTCTTAAAAGGCTAGAAACTTCGGGAAAGCTGGAAGTCCCCGGAGGCCCTGCTCCGCTGCCAACGCCTGAAATCCACGCTGCCCTGCATGTTTGAGCTGCCTGGTCCTCTGCTTCACCGCCGAACTGGCGACGAGATCCCAGAACCTCTGCAAGCCTGCATTTAAAAACATTTTTTACCATGGTGCATCTCCTGGAGAAAACACATCCCACCAGCCTTTCCCTGCTCCCAGGAGTTTTCTCCCTGCACTGCTGACACGGGAATGTGCCACTACTCCCATCTTTTGTCGCTCTCTGCCTCTGTCATTCTGGGCTGAGAAGAGAATTTGGGGCCCTCAGATGAGTAAAGACAACAGGAGCAAAGGGTAATGTAAAAATTAAGATGGGTGGCTTCACGTATTATTATTTTTAAAAATTGAGCGGTGGCCATCCGAGTGTCTCTCTGTCTCTGTCTTTCCAAGAGGATCTGGCAGGCCGAGGCGGCAGAGACTGGGCAAAATATCTGACCGGTTGGACCTCCGACTTCCTCTCACTGTCCTGCCAGTTGATGCTTCGGGGTTACAGGCCCAGCGGGGGAAACAAAGCCCACCTTGATTTGAGGGTAGTCGACACCAGCTCAAAATTGTCACAGTGCCACCGGCAAGGTGCCACCGGCAAGACAGCCTGTGGGCTGTGCCTACCTTGGCACAAGCTGGTCAGTGAGGACGGAGGACTCTCAGGAGTGAGTTAGGCTCGTTTCCTCCGTGTTCAGGTATCTGTGTAGCCGCTGCCCCTTCCTTTCTGCTGCCCACTATGCCCACTCCCTGGGTGGGACTGAAACTGCGGAGCTTTTTAGAACAGGTTGTGTTTGGCGGTGGGCTGTCCTTAGAGGCAGACTCTGTTTCCTTCTCTTCTGCCCTTTCAAAAGACTTCTCCCCTCAAAGTTCGCTTCCGTTTCTCCCAGATGAACTACCGTACGGCAGGGGTGACTTAACACCCTCTTTTGGGGCTCAGGGGCCATTTGAGAGCCGTCGGGGGGCTGCAGGCCAGTGGCGATGGAAGGGCGTGTGGCCAGTCCGCACCCCAGAGCATCCTTGCAAACGGGCAGCGGTGGTAAATTCAGCTGGGGGCTGGCTGCCCAAATCTGGCTCGTGGGCCATCTCTGGCCTGCAGGCTGACAATTCACAACATGGATATATTTCTAGCCTCCGGTTCCTATACTTTCCCCCCCGCCTCCCAGCCATACTGTAAATAGATGTGAATCATATATATATAAATATATATATATATATACATACATATATATATATAATTTTTTTACATCATCTTCATCTCTATCTTCTGGTGTTTGCTTTTTTTCTAAAAAAAAATAAATAAAAATAGTCCAAAAGACGCATTCTAAAAAACACGCAAAAAGCGCCCCACCCCACATCTGTCGCACATCCCTGGCCCGCCTGTCTGCCGTTCCACTGAGGCCTCGGGTGCAGCCAAGATTTTGGAGTTTTGAAGCTTCTTGTAGCGGTGGGGGAGGTGATGGGGAGGGGGGTGTTGGCAGCCTCCTTTCGTCCGGGTCCTGTTGGGCAATTGCAGATGACTGTGTTGTTGTTGATGATGATGATGTAGAAAGAGGAAGGAAGGGAGAGTTGGGTGCGAAAGAGAATTAAAGAGAAAATGTGTGGAAATAAAGTAACCCTTGTCTCGACCCGTAGGTTTGAAGTTTGTGCTCTCTTAAAAGTACCTAAAAAGGACTTTGAAATGCTGTCCGGCTCGTGTCGACATGGACTTTCGGACTCCTGGTTCTCCTCCTACGATGGCTTCAATGGCACCCCAAACTTTGTTCTGTTAACTTACTTACGTAGGTTTCCCTGCTCACAGTTTTACGCAGCTAAGTTTCCAACAGGGAGTCTCTCGGGTCCCTACCTGGAGATTGAACTGGGACCTTCTGCTTTGTCCCTGAGCCACAGCTCTTCCTTTAAAGGGGGAGTATTTCTTTATTTGGAACGCGGGTGGCGCTGTGGGTTAAACCACTGAGCCTCTTGGGCTTGCCGATCAGAAGGTCGGCGGTTCGAATCCCTGCGAAGGGATGAGCTCCCGTTGCTCTTTCCCAGCTCCTGCCAACCTAGCAGTTCGAAAGCACGTCAAAGTACAAGTAGATAAATAGGTACCGCTCTGGCGGGAAGGTAAACGGTGTTTCCGTGCACTGCTCTGGTTCGCCAGAAGCGGCTTAGTCATGCCGGCCACATGACCTGGAAGCTGTACGCCGGCTCCCTCGGCCAATAAAGCGAAATGAGCGCCACAACCCCAGAGTCGGTCACGACTGGACCTAATGGTCAGGGGTCCCTTTACCTTTACCTTTTTATTTCCTTTTTTGATTTCTGCACCACCCTTTCTTCGAAGATCACAGGGCAGTTAAAAATTAAAAACGCTAGTCCTCATGTTCTGAAGAAAGCTGTTGACTTAAGATAGGAACATAGGAAGCAGTTGCGGATTGCAGTTGCAATGGATTAGTTATCGGCTCCCTTCTACTGAGTTGGGGGCATTGGTCCATCTAAGCTGGTCTACACTGACTGGCAGCAGTGGCTTTCCAGGGCTTTGGCAGGCGGTCTCTCCCAGCCCTATCGGGAGGACATAAGAAGGATCTAAGAAACCTTGGTGGATCAGGCCAAAGGGGACTTGCCCTGTTCTCACCAAGGCCAAATTCCCTTAAGAACCTAGGGATTTAGGTAGACTGCCTCTGGACCTGGAGGTTCCATATGTACACCAGAAGAGCCCCATAGCTGGATCAGGCAAAAGCTAAGGACCCCCCCCCCCAGCCACTCTAAAGTATGGATTATATTCTAAACCGACCGAATCTTTTTTTAAAATATCCTAAACAACTACAAATGCAGTCCCTTGTGACATGCCAGTAACAATCGGGCCAACCGTCCGAAGGCCCCTTTCCCCACCAAAATACCGGTTTAAAAATAAGATCCAATAGAATGTCAGAAGGGAGGGCCGTTGCAGTTCTCCTTTCGGTCAGCAGAGGCTGAAAGAGACTTTCGGATGAAGCCAGATAAATGCGAATCGCTCCCAAATAAGGGAAGGAGAGGCCAGAATTTTGCCTTGCATTTTCAAAGGTTTAGGTCATTTGCCTCCGGGAAGTATGGGAAGAAATGATCAGCAATGGGGTGGGGGGGGGATTAAGCCCAGCAAACCATGGGAACCAACTCCTTAGAATTTCCTGTTTATTTGCAATTTGAGGAGAAGCCCAGGTTTGGAAGCATCTTCAGACTTCTTCAAGTCTGCCTTCTCCCCCTGCCGAAACAAATACACTCCATCAGGCTCTTTGCCCTGAAATAAATAAATCAGGATCTCTTTTCGTTGGCCTGTTTTGCTGGTGGTGCAACGGAGAGTCATCGAAGACCAACTGTTGCTTCTAGAACTGAAGTGGGAAACCTCAGACCAAGTGTGGCTCTGCAGGCTCTTCTGTTTGGCCCCTGGACACCCCCTCAATAGCCCTGCTTTGCACCCTCCTGGAGTGCTTTTGGCCTGGTCAGAATGCATCCCTGAACTCCAACCGCGTTTGGAAAAGGGGATATGTGAGTGGCTGTAGAAACCTGCCTACTCTACAAAGATTATGTTCGCAGTTGTTGCTCCGCCCACTTTTCCCTCTGGCCCTGCCCACCACTGGCACGCGGCCCCTAAAAAACTTCCCAGAGGGAAATGTGGCCCTCGAGATGAAAAAGGTCCCCAGTCCTGATCTGGAAGTTGGAGGAAACCTATGCAGTTTTTGGCTTGATATTTGTTCCTATTTCCAATGGTCTGGACTCCTAGCAGTCAGCGTGACTGGGCCGGACAAGCAACCCTCCTTCGTCTGTGTTTAAAAATAAACCTCTCCTGTTTGCTTTCAAAGATATAATCGCTGTTTTCTTTTCCCCCAGGTGCATACCTGCACCCTGTGATTAACTTGGGAGTGTGTCATGCAAGGGATAACATCACTTGACTGGTGCAAAAAGGGGGAGACTGCAGCGGGGAGGGAGGGAAGGTTTGCTGGTAAAGTTTTGGATCTGGACCACAGCAGACCCCTTCAAAAAGGATCGGTCTTCAGCCAACGGGCCAGAGCTTACTACAGGGCCACTGGTCTGATTTCAGCAACAACAGCGCTATCAACGCACCAAAAATAAAGTAGACCCAACGCTGGGTGGGTTGGGGAAAAAATGTACCACCCGACATTCCGATTTATTTATTTTTTATTTCAGTATTTATAAACTCTGCTTTCATATAAATGTATTGCCAAATGAGAAGCACAGTTAAAAATGGCAAGCCTCAAAAAGAGCTGGCTGGCAAAACAATCTCTGTGATAATAATCCTTGCACTCTGGCCTGCTATCTAAAAGACGCAGCACAAAAGGAAAAAGTTTTGGGGAAGTAGGGAGAGCAAAGCAAAATTGGGCACCAGTTCTTCACTGCAAGGTTCTCGTGACAACTGGCTGGAGTGGAACAAGCTTAAGGAGAGGGAAAAGCTGGAACTTGCTGATCTCTCCGCTGAGCCGATAAGGAAGCCCCGCGGTCCCTTTTCTCTCCTCCTGTCGCCTGACGGAATGGCTGCTTCTAGGCCGGCCGGCAAAAGCGGGGCCTGATGGAATCAATCGAAAAGAAAATTACATTTTTGTTCAGCCCCGGATGCGGAGACACGTTTAAATTTGGCTGGGGGTAGCAAAGCGTGTCCCCAAAATTCCCAAGCTGCCACTTGTAGTTTCCGTTCAGTATCTTCATGCTGTGAAACAAAACAGCAACCAAAGTCCCGTGTGATTTCTCAAGCAGAAACTGGTCCAGGGAAACAGACGAAAGCGCTCTTCTTCTGATGCAACATTCTTCTTCGGTTCTTCTTGCATGATGCAGTTATGAATAAGTAGGGGCTGCCAACCTTCCCTCCTGTTTTGCCCTTCGCCCACATCGGACCAGCTCCCATCTCCTTTAAACCTCACCCACCCCTCGCCAGTTCACCCACAGCTCACCCAAGCCCCTCCCATCAGGCCCCAAGCTCCACCCCCTTTTAGAGGGGGAGGAGCTTCACAGCAGCTTGCTAAACCGCTGTGTATAGTGCCTCCGCCCTCATTAAACAGCTTGCCTGCAGAAGGTGACAACAACTTGCATTTTTATGAATACAGGAAGGATTTTCCGTCTTGCTCTTCCTCTCAAAGTTGATCCGGGAGGTAAAGCACCATGCTGGTAAAACAATGCATTTAAAAAATAAAAGTAAAACATTAACGCCATAAATTTTTTTTTAAAAAAACTGTCACCTTCGCAGCTAATAATTCCAAGGTTGCCATCAAAAGGCCTGAAGTGAGCAGGAATGTTTTTAAGTTATTCCTGAAAGTCAATAAAGAGGAAGGATGTTCCACAAGGAAGGAGCAGCCACCGAAAAGGTCCTGCCACGTGGCTTTCTTTGGGCTGCTCCAAGATGCAGAGGAATTCCACTCGGGGTTTGAAAACTTCACCCTAAAAACAGCGTATGTCAATTTCCACCTGTGAGGGTTAAATCTGTGGTGAAAGTGTTTATTTGAATGGCGTTGCTCTTCCACCGCAGAGGCCCTCACAAAGCTGCCTACAGAAAAATTAGTTGCTGGGTGTTTTTATAGCCATTGCGTCATGAAAACAATAATTTTAAAATGGTTTGGTTAATCCTAGTATAGCTCTGCCAAAAACAAGCAGCACAGTCAAAATGTACCCAAATCAGCCCGGAAAGCCCCGTGGGTCAGGTTTTGTCAGATTTTGAATAATTCCAGCGCAGTCTCCGAAGGAGGAAACTCAGAAGCTGGCTACCATAGGTGCGGGGAAACGAGAATAGAGGCAGAACATGGCCAGTCAGATAGGTGGAGCATTATTATTATTATTATTATTAGCTCCTAGCCTTTGATAGCCACCTCCTCCTCCATGATTTTGTCTAATCTGCTCCATGCTGAGAAGCATGAGGCCCAGATTATTTTTAAGGGACAGCACTCTCCACACAGAAGCTCCCACCTTCAATCTCTGGACTCTCCAGCTAGGGCCGAGGGAGACTGCAATGCGAAACCTTGGCAAGATGCTGCCAGCCAGTGTACGCAGCACTGAGTCAGTTGCACCAAGGGTCTGGCTCAGTACAAGGCAACTTCCTGGGTTCCTCTTGGAACCAGCCCTTTATATCAGAGCCGTGGGGATGTGGTCATTTGCTTTTGTTTTAGTGGAAGGGCCCTAACTTGGGGCAAAGCATAGGCTTTGCCTGCAGAAAGTCCCTGTTTCAGTCCCCACTGGCATTTCCTGGTAGGGCTGGGAGGGGCTCCCTGCTTGAAACCCCCAGAGAGCTGCTGCCAGCCAGTGCAGACAGCACTGAGTCAGATGGAGCAATGCTAAAGCCAGCTTCCTCTGTTCTGTGAATCGCGCCGTCTGTTTCTACCACGAGATAAGATCTCGGGAGCCTTTGAATTCTGAAAGATTCCCCTTTAGAATTGGGAGGCAGCCAGGGGACAGGAAAGGCGCTGGTTGCAAGTTGCCTCTTTATTGTCCCAGGAAAAGGAAACTTAATTCTCTGATCTGCTGACGCCTAATCCCAAAATAACTTGATTGCAATGCATTGTCCAAAGTCAGGCGCTTTAGGCTGCAGGCTCTTGTCCGTAAATCAAAGCGCAAAAAGCAACACTTGAGTCAACTCTCAGATTAAGCAGAAAAATAACTTAATATTATT